CCACCGCTCCCTGGTCTACATATGGCTCCCCGGCTCCCCCACTGAATGTATTTCATATGTTGAAACTCAAAATAGTTATATATTGGTCAAGATATGATTTTAGATATTCATTTTATTTAAAAAAATCAAATAATTATTTATTCTTTAATAAAAAGGAATTATTTGTTCTTGTCATCAATATTTTCCTTATTTCCTTACATCTTCACATCACAACAAATGCAGTCAATTTTCTATATGTGACAATGCAGCTGATAACATTTGCTACACCCTACACCAGCAAACACCAGCAAGCACCAGCAACGTTATCACCGCCACAATCCCTCCAACCGCCATGTATTTCGTCCAACATTCTTCATCAGGGCAAATGGCGACCACCTTGGGACCAGAACCCATGAATGATGCACGACCCACATTATCGGCCAGTAGCTTTCCGCAGCAGTCTTCGCTCAGCCTAGGAACCAGAGTAGTTTTTTTGGGCATTATTATGGTAAGGACGCCACCACCAAACTTGGCCCATATTTCATTGGTTTTGATGTTACAGGGGAGTTTGATTTCTTTGCGGAACCAGCTCGTTATGGTTTTTTCCAACGGACGTTCTCCGGTGATGGATAGGATGCCCGCACAATGATTAATTGTAACATTCAGGTGCTCCAATTTGAAACCTACAAGCAAGGTTAAGGAATAACCTTAATCAGCCTCTTGGACTTTTTCTTAATGTACAATTAAGTCCTAACATTTTGATTGAATCTAACAAACACTGTTTATTTCCACTATCCTCAAAATTGCCCAAATTTAGCACTGCTAATGTAATACTTAATCAAGCATAATTTCCTTTATATAAGTTTTAATTAAACTTTCCCTATACTTAATTTTGTCTGTACCTTGATTCCAATGTCCAAGCATAGCATTATTATAGTGTTCCACATGTGAGAAAAAGGAGGCAAGAGAGAAAATATAGCATATTAATTAACACTTATCCACATAATGTTTTGTATGTCTAGTGTCTATGGACAAAGTGGCTTGTAGGTAATTGTATCTAAACAAAATATTTAGTTAGTTAAATTAATTTATTTTGGAAACATAAAAAAAAAAATACGTTTTGAGGGCAAATTTGGGTGTCAATAGGGGCTTAATTGTATCCAAATAAAATATAAGGTCTAAATTAATGGACCTTAAGAAGAAAAATTCATGGCATCTCTCAAAAAAAAAAAAAAAGGGGAAAAATTGGGGTGGTTATTGCCACACCCAAAATATATATTTAATAATGGAAAATTATTTGTATACTTTTTGATTCAATGCATCTAATAACATCTTCTGGTTCAATCATTAAATTTTGTTTTTGAAATTTTTCTACCTTGAATTTAAATTTAAAAATATTAGTTTTTTAATGACTGAACCGAGAAAGTGTTGTTAGGTGTGTTGAACCAGAAGATGTATCAATTATTATCCATAAATAATACACTCTTTTAATGCAATTGTTTATTGTAATCTTACATTATATTTTTTTTCAAAAATCTATGGTTTATGTTTGTTAATAAATTAAAAAGTATAATAATTAATTAAGATAAAAAATGTATAATTAATAATTTAGGGTATGACAATAATACTACCTATAAAAATTCATGAAATGATTTTTTTTTTTTTTTTTGGGAGAAAGGGATGATATGATGAATACCTTTCAAATCGAGCTCAACAGTATCAGAACATCCATCGTGTTTCCATTTGCACAGAGGCTCAAATTCTTTATAGCGCCAGTTGCAGAATATGGTTGACATATGGGACCGTAGTTTTCTTCTGTTTCTTAGACCAATAATATCAAGAAATTCTTGAACGAAATGCTGTGTGCCCTTAATTTAATGTTGCATTCTATATATATAATGGAAAGAACAGAGAGAATATTAAGAGAGCTTCCTTTTGAGGTTTGTTATTGAAACTGTTAAAAGAATTATTCGTTTGTTGTTTCAGAGGAGTTTGATAAGCTTGGTTTTTGCCTCTTTGGCTAGACTTTTTCTCCACGGTGATTCATTATTCATTCTTTGCTTCATGTTCGATCTTGCTTGGGCCTTTAAAATTAAAGTTAGAATAGGAATTTTAATTACATTTTAAAAAAAGTAAAATAAAAAAATATTAGTAATTAAGCAAATTCCTTCAAATTCCCCCGAATTGGAGGGATTAAAAAGAAAGAATTTAGAGTTCATCATCCATATATCCACCTACCTCCCTCTCCTCTCCCTCCCATAATAAACTTATGCAAACAAGAAGGAGGAGAGACCTCTCCCTTAATTACTCTCTTCCCCTTCCTCTCCAGCTCTCTCTATCTAAACAAAGTCTTAAGAGCCACTGATGGCTGCAGAGAATTGCATATTTGAGAGCGAGAGAGAGAAAGAGGGAGACAATCCCATTAAGTGTTTTAAATTTTAGGGTTAAAAAATACCATATCCAATATATTT